GGTTCTGTGTTAACAAGAACCTGCATTGAAAACAGTGATTTGAACGTGGCTATTGATATTCCAGCTGTAGATTGTAGTGACGCTGTTGAGACAATGAAATCTGTGGCAGATCACCTAAAAGTGGCTCCTGGTCAGTATCATAACAACTTTTTCTCAATATTACGGTATATACTATAATTTTGCTATTACGTTTGTACAATCTGTGTTCTGCACAGACGCTGTAGTTCCATATGGTGAAATAGGTTTTCTCGGATTTTTTATTCGGCTAGCTTCGAGTTTTTGCTGTGATTCTGAACTCCTAGTGCGAAACTTTAGGAAATTGCTCAGATGAAGAGTGATATGGAATTCTTGATAAATTTAGATGTGCTCGACGTTCAATTCTCGACTGATATACCAATGTGTATCAAGCTCACCTTGTCGGATGTACGCGTACGAATTGCATGGAGATGTGAGAACGGCGTGAAATATGCCAAATTGCTTTCTGTATATACTACTGTTCGCCCCCAATTTGCTGAGCTTTGCCGAATTGTCAGAAAATGGGCAGAGGTAGTTAACTATCATAGCTGATTCGGATTACCACATTATTGCGATTCTATGGTTTTAGGTTTCTGGTATTTACTCCTCCGACCGACGAAAAAATGGTCTGACGACCTATGGTTTTGATATAATGGTGCTGTATTTTCTGCAGCAGAAGGGTCTTCTTCCATGTCTTCATGAGGTGGGATTGCAGGTACTTGGTGAAGTTAATTGATTTTGTGTACATGAGCGATCGATACTCTTTGCTTGGTCCATTACGACTAGTTTCAGTGTCTTGTTTGAAATCTTTGTTTGGAATGAAATCTTGTTTAGCTAAATATTCGCCAGAAAACCAGTTTTTTCTTCGCTCCTTCGACCGTCCAAAATCCCTTTTCCTGTGAAAAATCAAATGTTTCGAATAATTGAGTGGAGTTTGGGGGAAGGGTGGCATGTAAAGTGTTGGGTTTCAATATTTCTCTGCATATAGTATAGATGATATCTCTGAAATATTAATATTGCAATTTTTACTTAAACTAACTTTCCAATCTTTAGATGCGCCCATTAATGTCTCATGAGAAGAAGTCAGAACCAACCATCGATGATTTCTACGAAAACCGAGAGTTGTATGAAGAGTGACGTAGATGTTATTGTGAGTTTTTTGGATTTTTCGGATGTATTTTTGTTAAGAATTTTTTGAGGAGAAAAAGCGAGAGTGATGGAGGTAGACTCTGAACCCTCCTATCTGGAACTTCGGCTTAATTCGTTGTCAATGTGTTCTTTATATTAACTTTTCGGCCAACTTCGACCTTCACGTTGATGGGCGAAATATGGTTTCCACATACAATCCTTATGGCAAAAAATATAACAAATACAACAACACGATGGACGTGTGGTACTGGCAAGTGGCGATGGCAGGCACTACAACATTTCGCCCATGGTCTGCGAATTACCTCCTGGATCGTACGCTCGTCTAAATTACCTAGACCTTCCTCCCCTGCAAAGTCGGCACTTCCGAAAGGAATTGATAAATGCTGATTGCTTCCTCCTTCTTATTGGTGGATTTGGAATATGAGAAAGGGATTTGTTCTGTATGATTGCCCTTTGAGTGTCGCAGTTTTTTTGTAAGTACTGATGGAAATTGTCGCATTAAAACCCTTAAAACCTTTTCCTCATTGTTTCCCTTTCATTTTATTTAGCAAAGTGAAATCAATGCAGTCATTTTCAGATGGAAAAGATTGGCATCCCCGAAGAACCATGGAATTTGGCCCAATTGTTCGTGGATTTTCTGTGCTTCTACGGCTCACGAGTACATCAGAATGAGGTTGTCCAAGTCTATACGGCAAAACATGTCATCAAGGACCGTAGCCGTTGGAGTAGAAAGTTGCTGCAGATTTGCGGTGAGTAGTGTTCGTATTCTTTTGATCTCTGACTTTCAGTGATGAGTGTTTCTACACGTACTCGATTAGTTTGGTGGAAGTTCTTTTTTGTGAATAAGTCAGCTTGGCTTGCAACCATGCTTGCAACAAAGCCTGTGACAGGCGCGATCACGGCCTATGACTTGAATCAGCCTGACGCATCGAAGCACCCCCATCGTTGCCATTGCGTCGGTGTATGTGCGCTCGTCCCGGCACCCAGTGTTTGTCTCATTTAGAAAACGATTCGTTTTGTTTTTCTTCACTGATTCCACTTCCGGCTGATCTTAAAGTACGATAACCACATCTGTGCACTCGAGAAATAATCCTCTAAACATTCAATTACATTGTTCTTCTTGCTTTTTCAAGTCAATTAGGTTAGTTTAGTTAGTTAAGTTGATTAATGTTTTTTTGTTTAAGATCCATTTCGGACGGATAATGTGGTAACATTTACCAAAGCCTACCAGGTGTACTTCTTCAACTGTTTTCTTAAATCATATCTATACTTCGCTATTCCACAAACAACGGATGGGCCACTACTAGAGATGTCACACTCTACCAAAAGGTCTGCGTAAGCGCGTAGTTTGGTTTTTTTTATCACGATATTAGGAAAGAACCACTCCAGTTGTTTGTTATTAGTTCACGTCGTTTCCCTATTTTAGATGGGTGAGAGTCCATCGTATAAAAAGAAAAGCAAGGCGGAGAAAAATATTGTGGATAATGGAGCAACCTGCTGCCAAAAGCCGGAGCCGAAGAAAACAAGAGCCTTACTGTTCCCGCAAACGCGAAACCACTTTTGGATTTCAATGCATCAACCTCCAGCACCCAGTTCGTGGCTGATATAGATGTAAGTTGTGTTCAGAGTTTGTGCTTGTGCGCTGAAACCCCAGCCGCAAATGTAGACGAAAAATTGGTTCTTCAATTGTTCTCTGAACCTTCTGCACATTTTTATTCTGGCATCCATATGGTTCGTCCTTCCTTATGGCGGTTTTTGATTGGAGAACTAAATTAACATCTGAGTTCTGTTAAGATTTCAAAACCACTTCTTGCACCACTACTAAGATGTCACACTCTACCAAAAGGTCTGCGTAAGCGCGTAATTTGGTTTTTTTTTATTACGATATTAGGAAAGAACCATTCCCGGTGTTTGTTATTAGTTCACGTCGTTTCCCTATTTTAGATGGGTGAGAGTCCACGTAAAAAGAAAAGCAGGCGGAGAAAATTTGTGGATAATGGAAAACCTGCTGCCTAAAGCCGAAGAAAACAAGAGCGTTACTGTTCCCGCAAACACGAAACCACTTTTGGATTTCAATGCATCAACCTCCAGCACCCAGTTCGTGGCTGATATAAGATGTAAGTTGTGTTCAGAGTTTGTGCTTGTGCGCTGAAACCCCAGCCGCAAAATGTAGACGGAAAAATTGGTTGTTCAATTGTTTCTGAACCTTCTGCACATTTTTTATTCTGACATCCATATGGTTCGTCCTTCCTTATGGCGGTTTTGATTGGAGAACCAAATTAATTCTGAGTTCTGTTAAGATTCAAACCACTTTTGCATTTCTGACCGGAAGGTTCGTTTTATGGGCCCTGTAGGAATATTCTTCGATTAGCTGACCTAATATTAGGTTGGTGTAAAACTGGTGTCTATTCCGTACAATTAACAATTCAATTCTGTTGTAACTTCTTTCTTCCACCCTAGAGTGCGCAGATATCACGTTATGCGGAACTATATCACTTAAAGAAAAAAGTGAAAACTTTTTAAGCACCGTATGCAACCGACCAAACTAAATGCAATTGTTTGATGACAACGCTTCAATAGAAAAGGTTGGAGAAACCTAGTCTTCCATCGGTAACACCAGGCCACACTTGCCCTGAGAGCAGTGTGCCATTGCTGTAACTGCAGAAGTGACAACAAGGAGCTTTTCTAGTTCAATAAATTCTTCCTGGCAGTTTTTGAGTTTATGATTCCGCTATTTGCGGATTTTCTAGCTGCCGTGAGCTCCAGTTCAAAATAAAACCTCCGGCAGAAACCGCCCTGTCATTTTTTTTCCGAAACTACTAAGCTGTCTCTAAGGATGGACTATGCATTCTAACATTTCCTGGGAAGCAGTAGAAAAATAGGTGTTATTTGAATGATTGGTGAACCATGTTTCTTATGATCTCTTATTGTATACGCGCTTGATTACTGTGCGAATTTTCGGAACCTTCTTCTATTAACGGTTTTCATGTTCCAAACAGAATATGGGATAGTAATTGTTCAGGACGATGAATACACGGCTGCTGCGGACGAACTAGCCGAAGAAGATGAAGAAGTTGCTAAAATAAGAAAGCAAATTTATCAGGATATGATGGTGAGGGTTTCCTAAAAATTTATGGTTTCATATGTTTTTCTTTCTTTAAAGTGATTTCGTTGCTTTCGACTTGTTTCTAACACATTTTCTATTACTTGTTTTCAAGAAACTAGGAAAGTGTCTCAAATGCGTATCTCGCACAAATGAGTTATACAAATTCAACACAATTTGGATGTTTTGTGATTATTTTTGGAATGATCATTAGTGTTTGTTACTTTTGAGCCGGTGCCGCAGCACCTCGGTGTCGTTCTGGATGCGAGACGATCGAATGGACGCCGTCAGCTAGTGGACAACAATCAACATCGAAGTTCAATCAAACAGTTTGGAAAATTCAATCCTAAATATTGCGTGCGTCAATGGACTCATCTTGAATTGCAATAATCCCAACGATTTCATGGTGCAGCTTGTCGCGATTGCTAATGCCACTGCTGTGTCAGAAAATGCAGTTACTGGCTGTTCATTGGTGAATGTGGCGGAAAGTCTGAGTGGGGCATACCTGTTACCTAACGGAGAAGCATTTTTTGCTCCAAAACGAAGCGCCTGTGGATTTTTTGTCGCCTGCCAATGGGTGAGCCATGTGATCGATGTAGTCAGGCTCAAAAAAGGTCTTTCTGAGATTACTATTCGCCTAACGTCGGATCACTGTCTTAGGGTGCTTCAGTGCCTTCAACTTTCTGGATCTTATCCCATCAGAAGGCTTCGAGAGCGGTTAACGGAGGTAAAGGCAATTCCTAAAACGTCCGTAATTGTGCTATTTGGATTCGATGGAGACAAAGAAGCAAAAGAAAAGGATGTGCCTGGACTTGCTGAAAGCTGCGAGGCGCTAGGTCTGACATTATGGAAAGGTTTCTATGACGAAGGACTTGAGAAATCGAGGAACATGATAGCAAGTTGCCCGAACGATGAATTTGTCCAAGTTGTTGACGAAGTTGCTTTAGAAACTCTCGAAAATATCAATAGCAGAGCGGATTTAGTGAAGGTTGCCTTGAAGGTTACTGGCGCTCAAACGATGCCAGAAGCGCTCGAAAACAGTGGCCCTGGAAGAGCGGAAAGAGCAAGACGTCTTGCAGAAAACATGGAGCGGAACGAACGAAAAAGAGAAGGGAAAATAAGGAGAGCAGAACGGAGGCGCATCGAAAAAGAACAAGTAAGGAGGGTGCTGATGCAGATAGTGGAGAACGTATCGGAAGAGCGTACGGTTCAAGAAGAGAAAGATGGCAGTGCAGTGATCACTGAGAAGAAACTTCTGGCGAAGGAACCCGAACAATACGAAAACGGCGAGCAGTCAGTAGAATGTGAAGTGAACAATGATATGGCGGAGAAAAAACGTGGAAGAAAACGTGGAACAAAAGGTGGAAGAAAGCGTAATAAGCGTCACACCGTAGAAGATGATGTCAAGATCATATTGGAGAAGCTCATCAGAGAGGTATCAGAAGCTTCGTCAGTTATCGAAGAAGAGCAAGATGCAGTAGATGGCGAGCAACAAATTAATCGAGGATCATTCATTGCCACCGGAAATTCGCATACCACGAGTAACGAGAAACTGTGTGAAGAGGTAACATATACACATAATTTTCTTACTTTGTAACGCCCTCGTGCGAAAAAATTCGGTCCTGAGTAAATGGAGCACACTGAAAATTTGAGGCTGTGTTTTATTCGTAAACTGATGTTTAGTTATCCAAAACTTATTGTTTTCATTCTGATGCACACCATAGCTCAAGAGCAAAATCTCATCCAAGTAATCAAGTTCTTTGCGCTATCCTAGTTCCCGGCAAAGCTTTTGAATTTTAATCGAGATCGATTAGATTTTGGAAGCGAATGTGGTACATTGGTGTGTCATAAACATGGTGGCAAGCTTATTTCATAATTTTTGTTCGGCGAATAGCCTCACTGCATCCGAAAGCAAACTTATTCCTGGCCTCCCCGGCCGTCCACCAAATCCCGTCTGAGATAGAGCTATTCGACTTGAAAGCGAAATAGACTCAAAGGGAGCGATCACTGTACGCTCAGGAGGGATGGGAGACGTAGGAGTGTTTGATGGTACGCCAATGGCGAAAAAGGCATGTACGGTTAGATGGTCTGAGATCGTGAGGTGCGACTCAACGTAGTGACCTTTTTCAACTGCGCGTGAAAGACAAGTAGAAAGAAAGAAGGTTTATTCTTCAAAAATGAACAAATAGTTGTGTTTGGAAGGATCGCTAGTAAACGGAGACACGGGGGAGTCGTAGTTGGCGAATTCGAGGACGACTACCGAAAGCGTGTTCACAGCAGGGTACACGGCGCGAATTGTTCTGGCGTAAGCCACAAAGGCTTTCTCTTTTGAGCTGCTGAGGCTCCTCCAACTCTTATGCGCCACTGTGGCTTCTGTCATTAAGTAACTATGGCTCCCAGCAGGGCCACTCGGGTTCCCTACAACAAGTCGCTTAGGCTCTCTGGACCATGCCGCTAGGGCTATCTCAAGGCCACCTCTATCGAGCCTAGACCCTTTCTTTCACGGACCGGCTCCTACCTACACCTCCCTCCTTGACTCCTGGACTCCTTTTATGAGGACCTACCCACCCGAACCATTTCCCTCAAGCGAGGTGGTCTCTCATGACCTAGCGTCTCTCACCTGAATAATCTTTCGTTATGGGTTAGGGTCGAATCTCCTGACAAGCAGAGAATTCCGTCGAGAAACGCAAAATATACCTCATTTGCCTGTTCATGTTCGGCCGTGGCTGAGTGGCGGCCAAGAAGTCGCATGGACGTGTTAACCCGATTACCAGTATCATGCCACGAAACATGACGCATTCAATGGTAACGCTTTACACAGAGAACTTAGAGATACGGGTGTCCGAAGTGACACGCCGTTTCAAGATGAAAGCGAACGATGCCGCTTCTAGCAGCAGAGCTCACCGAATCACGAACTACTACTGGGTGGAGTGGCCAGGGGGCTTTGCGGTTTTTAATCACTGTTCAGTAACCAGCGCACCTTTCGTCATTCAAGTGCCACACCTTGCTTCCTTATCAGCCTGGCTATTGCTTCAGCAGCGCATATACTTCCCAGGTGCGCAGAGGCCTTATCGTCATCACTTCTTTCGACGACGAATTCTAGCCGATCCAATTCCGAGGGTAAATGATGAGAACGGCTCTTGTTGGATAGCTCAAGTGGCAAGCACATTGTGGCAGATCCCGCTCATCGACTTGTATCTACCAAGTAAGAAGGGAGGTTCGCGTTTATTTTCAGTAAGCGAGATCACTTGGGGAAACGAATATGTTGCTGAAATGCACACATTATAGCTGCCGCAACGGGTCAATTTTTTAACCTCTTGAGCAGAAATATGTACCAATAATCCGAACTGAAAGGAATCTAAAAGGAGTTTTCGCACGTGGTCTTGATGAAGGAAGTGTCACGGTCTTTTTGCGCTGCTATCCAGATTGGTACGGTTTCTTCTGGAGTTTAAATTTATGTAACCACTTCCGTAACTTCCAATCACCCAACGCGCCCTTATTTGGTAATTTTTTTGGGTCTATTTTTTTCGAATTTCCTGTGAGAATGCTTCAACAGGCATTCATCTCTCTGTTGTTAGTCATCAAAAATTTTCTTTTTTTCTGCACTTGGCTTCATGGGGCATTGGGTTGAATTATCATATGAATTCTCCACGGCCCAAGGTTACCCAACCGCCAAAAAACCGTTCAGGAGACGTCAACTGTCCACGATATTCGGCTGAAGGATCTGACCCCGGAAAATGTGGAAATAGACGATTACATGGTGTACAGTCGTCGGACGATGCATCGAATTCGAGATAGGAATCCAACCCGTATCCCTAGGCATGTAAGTTGGGAATATCCTTCTCAGAATATTGCTGTCAGTTTTAATTGTACCCCTTTCAATTTAGGTGTATATGGTCCTGGAAGAGAAACATGGTCTGGCGAAAAGAGAATTCAAAGAAAGAGATAAGGAGTTGGATGAATTGCTCAGATTGCGGCGCGAAAAGATACGTCATGAACAGAAACGAGAACGATTGCGTGCTCAGATTTCAAAGAGAGTCGATAACGATGTTGATCAAGTTGGGGTGTGTTTGAGCCTTCCATTTATAAGTAGGTTTCAAGATTGCACTTAATAACGTATGTCGCCTTTATCATACGTTCACATATCTTGAAAACGAGATGAAATTCATTCAAGAAAGACCTCGAAAACTGCAACCCTTTCGATGACGTCAGATCGGGTGTAACTGAAGAAGACTGGATGATGTCTCAAGATGAAGAGTCAGTGAGTATCAATGCAGGTATGATTTTTATGTCATTGTATAGAAAGTATTCGAGGGCAATAAAGGATTGACTCAATTCACGAAAAGATCTGTTGTTTTTAACGTCAACATGAAATAATGAATGACATGCCAAAGGAATCATTCTTTCGTTAATAAAAGTAAACGGTAATTTCGGGAGCGAAACTGGGTAGCGTTTTTCAGACTGCTGTTCAGTCCCGATTTTCCTTGAGTTTTGATGCACGACCCCAATTAGTGTTTTTGCTCTTTCCTCGATCTGACTTTTTTGGTTGCTTTTGGGTCGTTTCTGCCTGGGACAGGCTCGAACATATGAATTCTATGTAAAAATTCAGATGTAAATGTAAACGGAAAAAGGCAGCAATTAAGGATGAAAATTAGGATAAAGCGCCATAATGCAATATCTGTTTCTTACCCAGTACTTTTCCCCAAACATGAACATTTAATAAACGGCTACAGTGCTGTTAAATTTTTCGGCTGAAAACTCCTCAAAGATTTTGTGTATTCGCAAATCATGGAATGTGTATGCAAGCTAATCTATTTTAAGAGATCGAAACCATCAATGACGAATCCATTGATGAGCCGATGGAAACTACTGAGAAGGCTGAGGCTGCCGAAGTGGACAAGGTGAATTCCATTCTTTCCACTGCTCTTTGACCCTTTGGCGACAATGTCATCCAGTGATCACTAACGGCCTTTTTGCTGTTTAGGACACATCGCGCAACGTTTAGACCGCGATGCTGGATTGCATAGTTTTTTTTTGTAAATTTCTTGCAATATCAAGGGGGCGTAGCGGTATTCATGGCGACCGTGTCAGTAGCGGCCAGATAGCAGTACTTCTCATAGACAGTACTATTGAGTTATCTTACCAGTAGTAGGCGTCTTGCAACGCCATCAGTTGTTCAAAATGTCGTTCAAAGCCAATCAATTTCAAGTGTACACGCTATTCATAACCTACAGCTAGTTAGCGTTACTGTTGAAAGATTTTAGAAATCTCCTTCCGAAAAGTCTGCTGTCTTGGCTCAAAAATAACCGGCCACTTCCGCTTTGGACTCGTCCACAGTCCTTTATTATTTTTTCCATTCAAATGATTCTCCAAGTTCTGATAAGTGGTAATGGGATAGTGAAAATTCGACGATCATAAGCATGGGTCAGATTTGCCATTCAAAGTCGCTCAACATTTTCTCATTTCATCATTACTCTACAGGGCGAAAAAGGAGATTGGAAAAGTTGGTACGACGCTAATTAGTCCTTCCTGCAGGCTTTTCGAAGGGAGTGGAAGTGTCGGGGAATGGACGAATTGTTGAACCCGAGTTCCTTGGTCATTTATCAATGTTTACTCTGTTCTACACCATCTTTCGCAGAACGTCCTCAGCAAGCCCAGAAAGCCTTTCATATATTACTCTTCTCTCAGTCTGTTCTTTCTGAGACGGAACTTCCGGAAAAAGTGCGCGCTGTTCCTGCGTCACCAGTACTCGAAGGGTTGCAAAGTGTGAAGCACCTTAACTTTTAGGTTATTGAGATTCCTGAAGTGGAAGAGAAGGGACCAAAGTCGCAAATCTGCTACGAAAACTTCTTCATCACTCTCAAGGAATTTGACGCTCAAAGTCTGAAACAAAAAGTAAGTTTCAGTGAGTAATTGGTTGAGATGTTATTGCCAAACAGTTATCTTCCTAGGTGGACGAACTTCCAATCGATCAGTTTAGATATTCCTTTGACGATTCACAAAATTTCAATAATGGTTTTGTAAGTTGAATTCATGATATATCAAGATGTTCAGTGTTCTGGACTTTTTTTTAGCATGAGTAGAAGTTTTGTAATTTTCAGAAGCCGGATATAGTCTGCTCATTCTGCGAAAGCAGTGATCATTGGTCAGATGTCTGCCCATTGATGATCGTGAGTTTTACAATT